ATATATATATATATATATCTCGAAGCAAAGAATCGTTGAATCTTAGTAATGAACGTGAACCTCCTCCATTCTGAAAAGAGATGAGACTTGAGAGTAATTTTTCTAGATTGAATTTTCTGTGAATTCAATTTATAAAAGCTTTTAAAAAAACTTAAACAATTTATAGAATTATCCTTTTGTTTTTCAAAATCGAATAGCTAATATCCTTTTTATTCCTATTTTTAGGATAAAATTTATAATAACATAAACTATGAGTTTCCTTTTTCGTCTTCTCCACCTAAAATGATAAAAGTATATATAGTAATCATATTAAAGTATACAAGATGTTGAAAGATGAAAAACGATCGAATTCAAAATATCAATGAACTATTAATTCAATTAAAAAAAAAAAAATACAATTCTATAAAAAACCATTCTTATCTCTAACCATATCACTAATCCTGCGAAACAAGTAACGCGGTCCGTTGAAAATAGTAATCGTTCATTTCCGTTCCATTATCCGGTTAATTGTAGTACGTTAACCGACCGTTCTCTGAAATTTTACGAGTTAACATCTGTAAACAACTGTAAAAGGATTATTCCGATTTGCACTCTAATTCCTCCATCCCCAAGGTCCGCTTCTCGTGCCCCATGATTCACGAGTGGCAATTATATTCGTTAATAACAGGTTACAACAATCGCTTCATGAATATTTCCTCGTTTTCTCGTCCATCAAGGATATATTCCTCGATCGGTGAGCAGAACCAGATACCGGCAAGGCTTGTCCACCGCGTTTTTTCACCCACGATATAACGTTGTTACAGCATTTTTTCATATTTTCCTTTTTTTCCCCTTCTCTTTCTTTCTCTTTCTCACAGCAAAGATCTTTTTCTCTCTCTCTCTTTCTCTCTCTCTTTGTATCCGCGTAGCGATTAATAATCATTTATTGACTCAGGAACTGTTCACTCCCACGCGTGACTTCCACGAAAGCACCGCGGTTTCAGATGACACCTGGTGATTTACAAACCGGCTGGGTTTATTTAATAACGCGAGAGGCTAGGGTATGAAAGGTACCCGGAAGATCGTTCGATGAAAGATATCGAGGGGTTCAACGGCACTTCGAATCGGTTGGTATTCTAGAGATAGGCATAGCTGGCCTATCGTTGTTCAGCCAAAAACAGATATCTCTTAAGCTCACGTTCTCACCGAGGCAACAATGAGAAAAATTGTTTTTTTTTTTCTTTTCTTTCCTTTAAATTTAAGGTTTTCGTGGCGATATTCTAGAAACAATGTAACGAGTTTTGATAAAAAAAAATAATAGCTTAAGAATTTCTTAATAGCTTACCTTCTTAATAGCTTAAGAAACTTTTATAAATTTCTTTAAAATTCGAGTCGCTAGTACTCTCAATATGGCGAACTATTGATATTCTGATAAAATTAGAAGTTTAAGCTGCGTTCTCATTGAAGCAGTAAAGAGAATTTTTTTTTTTGAATTTAAGAAGTTTTTGTGATTTTTTGAATCGTTTGACATTTCAGAAATAGATAAACTACAGTATTGTTGTATTTTTTTTACCAAAAAGAGAAATTCTGATATTTCCATTTCAGTCATTGCAGTTAGCATTATAACGTAAGAAAGTTTGATAAAATTTCGAATGATTTCATATTTTTACATTTGTTGAAATCGGCCATTTTACATTCAGGAAAAAGTTAATATAATCTTATGAAATTTATGAAAAATTGACAAAAGTTATCTAATATAAACAAGATTTAAAGATCAATAAATATCAGAGAAAGATCTTTGCAAATGTTCTTTCAGTATAAATATAGCTTTGTAAAATTCAAAGTCTCTGATTATATTGCATTGCTTTGTAGGTCAGTGTTTGACAGTGAATTTATTGCTTCAATGAGGATGCAGCTTAACACCAATTGCGTGCATAGTCGAATTTCAGAGTGATATTTAGCCATCTTTTTTTAGATCTTTTTCGTTCGAAAAAATATGCATAAATATTCGATGCACAACAAACGTGTAAACTTTGGAATCTTATTTTCCATTTATTGTTTTCTGAAACAGATAATGATGATGATAATATATGCTTATGGAACATGTATATTAATGCATAATGATTTTTTTTGTTCGATTATAATTTCATAGTTAAAAATTATTATCACATTTAACATTTATGCTAACGTCGTTAAAATTATTATGTAAACGACTAACTACATCTTTTTAAATTTATGCGATATAACTCAAATATTTATGTAATTCTTAGGTAAGAAAATACCAGTTTTAGATGAATAAGTTTAATGATAATTTATTTAATTGCGTTTTAAAATTAAAATTACGATATTTACAAAATAATTGCAGTAATTTTAAAGATAAACGACTTCCAATGTTAGAATAACGACTCTCCTCAAGAACTATATTTCTCCGTTTTTATTTTATTACGTACGAGGACATTCATCTTGCATCCTAACCTAAAATACCTATCTATTCCTTTATCTTACTTAATGAATAATTTCGCCAAAAGTCTATTATCCATTCGCCAATTCCTATTATTTCCTACTCCCTTTTAATTTTATTATTTATGTATCTTTTTCTTATTTCTTTTTTTTTTAAATTATACCTCCCAAAGAGAAAATAAATAAATCGATCGATCAACATGAAAAACACTATAGATAAATTATTCGTGGGACGAATAAAGAATGCACTTGGCATTTATTCTGCATAAGTTCAATGAATTTTCATTCATAATGAGAATTCTCACCACCATTGTCATATTTACTACGCAACACTTAGATGACGCGTTCGTTCTTCATCGCGAATACATCGCGTTACGTAACCTCAACATTTCTTACAACCTCGAATACCCATACGCATAGAAACCTTTGAAAAAATCATTTTGTACAAATTGAGAATCCACGAGTCAAGTTAATCTTCTCTATACACGTTTTCCTCTATAACAGACCGTTCCCATGTAACTTTCTCTCGCTCGAACTTTTCGAATTCCCGAAAAGTAATCGATCGTTCTCCCTCTGTCGATTGTACACGAGCGCTATCTGTCGGTACGATCTCGTGATTAATTAAGATGTACGTCCGTGTCAAAGCGCGCTGGGGCGCGCGACAAAGAGCCGGCGCTATTGCGAAATCCCTTTTCTGGTCAATTTAATATTTTCGCTCCTTTGTGGAGGATGGCTTACCAAACGCGCTAGGTGATTAATGAACGTTCTGCGAATGAGAAAGTTCGATGAACGTGGGTATGCAAATCGTTCCGTTGGAGATAAAACGCCCTTTTTTGGGAGAGGCTGGAATCTTGGGAGCGTAGATTCTATGGTAGCAGGTATTCGAGGCGTGGGCCGATCGATCGATTCTCTTTGGATAAGGAAGATTCCCGTCATTTTTTTTCGTTTCTTCGTTCCTTTCGATGATATCGA